GATGATGATGATGATGATGATGATGATGATGATCTGAGAGAAACAAACGTCTAGGGAGACCCTCGAGCGTCATATTTTTTGGAAGAACCTGTAGTTATGTTAAGGTAATATTCCGCGAGAATGACTGCCGAGGACGATCACTATGATGTTGTGACGTATGTCAAAATTATGTCCAAAATATAATACAGAAAACGCATGAAATTGAGCAGATGTTCATTAGATGACGAAAACTATGGACAGCCCACCCGTAAAAGTGACAGATACCGCATTCACCAAGGTTGGTTTTACTTTGGGATATGTGTGAATTCGGGGAGCGGTCCTTTTTCTTTCAACTCGTAACCACAAGCTCCTAACTAAACGCATTTCTCAGCGAAATCCACGAAGTTGCAGACGAATTTGGTTTAGCAAGAGACTCACCTAGAACCCTGTAGAATCTCTCCTCTATGCTGTTTTGCGAGTTTCATGCAATTTGGCTTTAATTAGAGCACAAGGTTGACGGAAACTCGGGGAATACACCTACCTGATGAGCCTCAAGAAGGGCGAAACCGGTTGTGGGCTATCGATGAATTTTCAGCAACCTTATGAGTAGTGCATTACGTCTAGACATCTTTCTATTTACGGGGCGATCAAGTGTTAGATGTATGATTAGCCTGAATTTTCAGAAGAGTAGTAGTGTATTTCAGATTCTAACGAGATTGATCAAGCCAAGATGTTGTTGGGTGGATATACCGGTATCTTTTAAGATTCTGACTTGGTTGGTATAGGAGAAAAGCGCTGGTTCTAACTTATGGCCAGATTCTACCTTACGTAACAGGCGATATTTGTTGAGCATTACTGGAATAAAATTATAAGCGCAGACTCTGCTCAACACCGGTACTTTCCGATTTCATTGTGTAATGCGTAGCTGTACGTGAATGCCGTTATATTGTATGACATAATGGTTGACAGCCGGACATAAATCAACCTAGATCGGAATGAATTACGAAGGCGCCATCATTCGCACCTCCGCAAAGTGCGACAGTTCGGTTCCCGTTTGTGACTAGCAAATTATCCGGACATTGACTGAGAACAGACTGATACAGGCCTGATTATTAGGTCCGGGTAATCACATTGGGACATAGGTTGGAGAAAAGGTTTCACCTACGAGCAGAACAGCGACGGAGTCACACTCAAACTTTGCTTTTTCTCACTGCTACGCTTAGCCGAAATTGGACACACTTTTACATACAAAATGCCCGGATATTTGACGGATTTGACATATAAAGTAAGCCTAGGGTGGTCACACAAAGCTATATCAAACTGCTTGGTCTGTACAGATGTGAACCGGCACCTGACCCTTTACACTAGTGGTTTGTCTCCTGTAAGACCTATTTTGGATTGGATCACGCAATCGTTGACATGTTGTATCGAAAATAAATTTGTGGAGAAAGCAGCTGGGAAGCAAACTAGAGACGTAAGTGATAGTATACTGGATTCAGAGGCGAAAGTTGATAATAACATAAGCTAAATATGGACTTCTCGTTAACGGTCGAATTTCGCTTGTCATTCATCCTCTGACACGGAGAACTTCTTACAACCTTAGTGTACCCTACGGGACTGACCAGCGTCCGATCGTGGCACATGCTCCCAGAACGGATGCCGATTCAGACCGGAACTGGGCATAAAGACATTAGAGCAAGACTGACAGATTATGGGACCACCCACGCACACTTCACGCGCAAGGTCGTCTGACGATCGCTACTTCTGTGGTCTCACACGGTCAGTCAAGCAAATGTGTCAGCAAAACCGGATCACACCTGAGGCGGAGAACAACGTAGAAGTATGTTATAGCCCGCAAACCCGATGAACCTGCCTACAACTAATCTATCCCAAATACTGTCATAGCCCGTTACCTCCTCTACATACAGGGACCCTTCAAAACGACCGAATATCGTTCGCATTTTAGAAGTTGAAATGGAGAAACATACTGTATCACTGCTAATCGTCACGATCACCAAGATTTGGTGTTAAAATGTTTAACAGTGACGTTTGGGTTTGTGGACGTCTCTATCGTGTTATCTATGAAAAATAAGCCTTGCCCGCAAGCGATTCATTAAAAGAAAGGAAACAATAGACCATCGTATTTGATGACTTTCTTCATGTAACTTTTATCTGAAGTAAATCGGCTAACAGACTACCGTTAGGGATGTCTGCTATGAACACGGAGATGCAATCAGAAATTTACACACCCGGTGTTGGAGCACATGTGTTTTTACGATATCACGTCCACCCTACATCAACCAGAAGATCTTCATCTCAATATGTATCACGCCAAGTGAATCAATGTTGCCACATCAAATAGAAGAGCACCAAAATTGCATTGGGGTGCTTCACAACTGGGACAACAACATTAGTCAGCGTAGTACGATTGGAGACTTCGTCCTGTAGTTGAAGTCAATCCTTGCTAAACATCCTGTTTTATCCTTAGTGTGAACCATCAGCGGTGCGTGACTCAAGAAATCCCATCGAGACTTTAACCCGAAAACTCCTGTATGGTAGGTTGAACAGCTAGCCGTTCGGCCACGAGGGATCAATCATCGTTGTGATGAAGTCGGAGTATATTCTAAATGCACGATAATCACGATGCTGATCATCCGCTCGTGACCGCTCGTTTAAACTACTATGAGAGAAGTCGCGGGTACGAGACTCCTTGGAATTTCGTCAGATACACACTGCTGATGACGCCCAATCGGGGTGAAATAGCTGCACAGTGCTTATCGGCTTTTCAGCACAAAATGACTTCACTTGCGGGACGAAAGCCCTATTAAAAATTCCTACATTTTCTCACACTACCTCTCCACTGCCAAAATTACACGAACCTACTGGGGACGGTTCACTGTCACCTGGATATGCGCTCAGCACCGTGGGTAAACGTTTCTCCTGTGTTTCTGAGATTTCATGAGGTTATACAACAGCAAAGCAAACTTCACTACCGCAGCATTATCTGCAAGTTTTGAGTGGTCAGTTCAAAAACCGCGCTAAATGTCGCGGGTTTCAAACTAGCCCGGTAGCCATGGTAACCTCGGTTTAATCCAAATTCAAACAAGACCCCGGAGTCCGTCTCTATTTTCACCTAACCCTAATAAGTTTACTTTATCTTTTAATTCATCTTGGTGTATATTCACTCTTTAGAATAATCCCTTATGTTCAGATCTAAAGATTTTTGGACACGTCTCGCTATACAGATACTTTGATTTTATGACTTGATTGTTCCTTTTCTAGTGGTGGTTCAGCACGAGATGTTTCACGAAAGCGACTTTAACAAAATGAAGCACCGAATTAGATGGAATCGCACGTGTCTATGGGATTTGCTAACGGTGGACATGGAGGAATCACAAGTTTAACCTTTTCTAAGAGAATGTCCTAAAAAATTGATGGTAGTGTGGGGAGGTTTTGGAATTTTCAAAAATTTCAGGGTCCTGTAAATGAAATTAGCCTACGCAAAGACGCTCGGAAGAACGGTGCAACTGTCTCGTATTCATTTGGTGTCATCAGCAATGCGCATATCACAAATCTCGAGTGATACTCGAACCCGCGATCTCTTGGCTAGTAATAACTACGAGCGGCCACGTGCAGCTGGTTAGCATTGTGACTAGCTAACACTTAGACAAGAAGTTGCGCCACTTATCCTTCAGCCACAGGTACCATCATATGTTCAAACGTTTTGACTACATCCGTGAGTGATAACTTCTTAGAAGAAAGTTTCACTCACCTTGACAAATCCACTCATTTGCAGGTCAGTTTGATTTTTTCATGAAAGACGCCAGTGAATCGCTCGTTTATGAAAAGCGAAACCAGTCGTGGGCTGTCGAACAGTTTTCAGCAACTTTGTGAGTAGTTTCCTTTATGAAAGTTTCATCCATCTTGTGAGATCATTCTTCTAAACTATTTATAGGTGGACGATAATGAGATGAGAGCTAGTAATTTTTAATTGGGGTTCCGTGATCGAACGATGAGTGACGCTATATCCTGTCCAAGTGCGAGTCAGCCACAGTGTTGATCAGCCGCCTGTCTGAATCGTTGAACGTTTAAACTAATAACCAGGGGGTCGCGGCTTCGAGATTCCTTCGAGTTTCGTGAGATGTGCATTGCTGACTATTCCCAATGAGAATACAATAGCTGTATGATGCCTCTCGGCTTTTCCGCGTAGATTGGCTTCACTTTTAGGACGAAATCTTTAGTTGTTTTTTCATTGCGACGTGGACCCACAATTCTAGTGTCCTCGGATTTCCCAGGCGCATTCGACCCGGTTGATCGGTCTGTTCTTCTTGACACGCTTACCCACCAAGGAATGCCCCAGAAGATTGTGAACATAATACGTTCTTTGTATTCTCCGACTTCCGGACGTCAGAGTATACGGAGAGCTCTCCGAAAGCTTCCGTACACAAAGCGGTGTCCGTCAGGGATATTCACTCTCTCCATTACTTTTTAACTTCGTGATCGATGAGATAATGAGACGAACGCTCTAAAACCCCGGTGTTCAGATAGCAGTGAAGTATCGGTGTTAAACACTGATGTCATGCTGTCGATGCTGATGACGGTGACTCCGACTCGTATGAAAAATCAATCAATATCAAGTGGTACAAACCAGTTTGTTCCGTTTTCGGCAAGACCCAGTTAGGAGAAGGGACGATAGAACCGCTAGAGCCATTTTCTTTACAGATAACAGAAAAATGGTGGAGCCCATTCAGCTGATTGTACACCACTCCAAATGTTCCAGTTTGCACTGATTCGTCAACCGCATGAATCAATCCCAAATTTTTGTTTGTTGATTTCTCTTGCAGGGCTTGTTAAGCTGCTTTGTGGTTTCTCATAGTTTTCTCGTTCTGTCTCGATTTTGATTGAACATGATATCACAGCCTATACAAGTTTATCATGCTCTACCGATTGGTCAATATTTATCCCTGGATTGTCCGAATAGAAAGAAAGAAAAGAAAGAATAGACCAAAACTTGTTGGTCTCACATTGAAGCAAAGTCAAGCGGGTTCTTCCATCTCGTCGGTTCTTTGCTTGAAGTCGAATCTTCGGCGAACAATATGAAAGGTTTTTTGCCTAGACATGAAACACTACTCACAAGATTGCTGGAAGCTCTCCGACCATAATAAACGAGAGATTCAGCTGGATTCAGTTAAGTATGCAGTTAGGAGCATTTGATTATAGGTTTGGATTCAGTTAGTATGCAGTTAGGAGCATTTGATTATAGGTTTTTGTTTGAGCCAAACCAGATGAAATCTGATTTGCCTTTTGACATTCAGTTTACCTGTGCCCACTGTTGTCCTTTCACCTAGGTAATTATGGCCGACATTGGCCTTCTCATTCATGCCTTCTTCACACCCATTGTGATACTGGTCGGTCTGGTGGGCAACTATCTGTGTCTGATGGTGTTCCGCGTCAAGAGGCTTCGCTCATCACCTACCGGAAATGCCTGTGCAACAATTCTTTCGGCGTTGTCAGCTGTCGACCTGCTGGTCCTTATTTGTCACATCCTTCCTGAATGGATATATAATGGCCTTCCTGTTCTGAAGCAGCATTTCTACCAATCCCAGGATTTCGTGTCTCATTCGAACAAGCACACAGACCTCCATGAGATGGATGCCAACCGGTCGTTTTCCAACCTGTCTTCTACAGATTCAACCCCAAGTATTAAAATCAGCCCAGTTAGTGAGCCTATTCAGTTGCTGTACAAACCCGGCTTGTTTCAGATCTACATCACAATCACCTATGTGTTACGGATGATGTCAGTGTGGCTGCTCGTCCTCTTCACCATCGAACGCTACATCGGTACGTTTAACTGCAAACCTAACACGCCCAAAGTCGTAATGAAATGCTCTGACGTTGTTTTTCCTTTTTTGGTTGACTACAGGACTCTGAAAACCTGGATTTCTTGGGAATACTAAGCCAGCGAGGCTTCACGCGATTACATAGAAGTGTCATATGATTCTAGGGAGTCAGCCAGCCCTGTAGAAACATCTTGTACATACATTCATAAATGGTTTACCCCCCCACCCCACCCCCCGTTGGATGTACATCGTTAGAGCTATTGAAGCTTTGTCAAAACGTTGATCTTCTAACAGCTCTTTCGTGTTCCAATGAAATTTTTTGAACAGGTTGACTTAAATCTAAGATCTGCTGTCGAACTTACATATTTGTGAGAATTACACCCATTTCAGGATATTTTTATTCACCTCAAATCATTTTGTCATCCCTCGGACTTGGCTTTAAATTCTCAGTGAAAGAAATTAGGCCTTAAGTTAAAACGTTTTTAGGTTCCCGTCGAAACGTCATCAGACAAATTCGATTTGGGCTGTGCATGTGCTTTGCTATGGCCCGTTTGCGGAAATCTAAACGGTGATTGATTCGGTGCATTTCATTCTATTCTTATTTGAAGGATATTCTGACTCTCATCTAGGGTCCCTTACCTGCACGAAAAATCTGTTACGGATCGTCTGAGAGACTAGTCCCTCTTCTCTCTAGTATCTCCCTCTATGCGAGTCTGGATCATTGTACCCAGGGTCTTCTTGCATCGGTGTTTGTGCTCCCCACATGATTCTGAAATGAAACTCGAATGAACTATGTCTTACATCTATTGATCGACAATTTTGGAAAGTCCTTTCCTCGTGTGCCCAACACACAAGAACTAACCATCGTAGTAAGACCCAGCTACGGATTCGACTTTCTCAACAGATTTTCGAGGTACTACTCCTATAGGAGGGCAGTAAAGTATACAAAAATTGAATGCATCCGAACGGCAACATTCCATGTGGGCAAACGGCTTTGGTCTGTTTACAGTGCAAATGCTGCAGATGGTTTTGTTTGAAAATCCAACATAAATCTGATCTGTCAGTAAACCCAACTGTAATGACGTATCACTTTCAAATCTTAGGCATCTGTTCATATGATACAATCGGCCCCATCCAACTGATGCGAATACATTCTCGGACACGAGTGTATTGATTTCTTGGGATTCTATTGCAAGGTTCAACTTATAGATGGACGGGTCGCACAATAGACGCGGTACTCTAGTCGTGTTTTAAATAAATCGCTTTTTTTTGTTGAGTAAAATTACCCAATTCCGTTCGATTTTTCTATTACAGAAGTATGTTGCCCTTTGAAAAACAGCCTTTTTCGTACCCGTCACAAAGTGAACGGCGCCATCGGTTTAGTTCTCGGTTTGACTCTACTTACTTGCTCCTACAAACCAATTCTCAGCTGCATTGTGGACTCACGTTATGCACCCGCGGATATCGAAACAACCGGTCGATCTAAAAGTGCAACCGCAGAAACAATCGTTGAATCGAATGTCATGACAACCAGCACGAATGAGACCTTTCATGTTCCGGTGACATCAAAAATACCAACCGATTTGGAAACTCATGAGGGCGCTAAACTTGCATTTGTTCTAGACTCTTGTTATGCCTTTTTACTCACCGTTCTCCCCTTGTTCATCATTTCTGGTCTCAGTCTCGGTATCATTACACACTTGTCACACCACAATAAGCTGCTATGTATGGCTATTCAAACAAATTCAACCGGAATACCTCAAACTACAGTCAGTACTAAGACATCAGCTGAACAGATCACTTGCTGCCAGAAATGGAACGTCTGTGGCTGTCTGATACGTTTCAAGAATTCCGTTTCTGATTGCGGACAAACAAATGGACATAGTCAGACCTCGATGAATAATATTGCATGTACTTATCCTGGGAGATATAATACTCCAGTGCCGTCCAAGTCTTCATCGTCCTACAGCCAGGCAACCTATCCCAATCGTGGCAATCACATCCGCAGTTTGACATGTAACTGCTCTGCCAGTCAACAAGAAAGCACCATCCCATCAGATTCATGTATTAGAAACATGGGATGCAGCAAGTGTCGCACGAGTAGGCCAGTGAAAGGGGCCAAAAAAGTCACAACACTACCTCCGATGGGTATTCAAACGGAATGGTCAGCGTACCGAGCTCGCTGGGGTGACCACTTGGGGCGTCAGTTTGTTTTAACCCTATTCGCAATCTCGGCCTGCTTTCTTCTGTTGAATGTCCCCTATTTGATTATGTGGATTTGTCGGTGGTTCCAGGTACGCCGATCCCTTTACGATATGGAATCCAGTGAAACGATGGACAAATTCAGTCAGCAAATTGCAGGACCTGTAGATATCGCAGACCTGACTAAATCACTGGTACGTACAATAATGGACCAAGCTCAGGCACACAACAAATCTGGTGGGTCACTTGCCATTCATCCGGAAGGACAATTTGATTGGCTACAATTCGCTCTGCCCATCAGCCGGACTATATTTTCTTTCAACTATTGTGTGAATATTTTTTTGTACAGCCTTGTTGGTAGATATTTTCGAAGAGAACTTGCTCGACTGGTTTGGGGGTGGAAATACGCCGTGGTTTCTCGTCTTCGCCCCAAGCAAGCTCGGCGCATGGCCAAACAACACCAACAAGGTCTTGCCTACAATCGAAACAGGATTCGGGTAAACGTGTGGTGTAAAAATGTTCCAACTGGAGCAATTCCGCTGGAAGTGATGAGACCAGACTCGCGATTCTGGTAAGCAGTAACTAGTCGGTCTGTTGGTCTGTTACTTATTGCCCCCTCCCCTGATCAAACGACCAGCAGTGGTTGATGAGCTATGATCAGTTTTCGACCACCTTTCTGAGCCATGGAAATCGCAGGTGGAAATGCGATCTGACGAGACACTACGGTTCACATTTTCTACCGAACTTTCAAACCGCCAGCCACAACAGTGTACGTGACCGGACCCCGTACATTCCCCAACCCAGTCATCCGACCTTTCAAAGTTCGTGATTTTAATACAGGATTCGTGTCTTCTGATTGTTCTGTATGTTCTGTGTATATTTCAGTTCGAATTAATTTGTTGCTCTGAACAGCTGACTACCTGTGTGCAGCTTAGTAAAATGTTTTATCAAGCTGTGAAAACTATTGGTATAACAGATCCTGTTAAACGACTGTGGAGCCTCAAAATCAACCAATCAATCGATACCTAAAATTTGCACAACGTGCAAATGAAACCTGAGTGAAAATTAAACCAAGTTACCAGTAAAGATGTGTTTGATTTTCAAGAAGCTTAGTCATATAAGACCTATTTTTCCCCACTTGTACTCATCGAGGGAGCTTAGATGAGGTTGGTCACGTGACCCTCAGGTCCAGGCTGTTGAATTCAGAGCAATGCGTCCGTGAAACCACATTTGCTACTTCCAAATGAAAGTGGTGCGAGTTGAAACCGTCGCATTCATTGTATCTAGAGTAGTTTGCATACGTCCTCAAGAAGATTCATGAATTGCCTGTTGTCCCATGTTTGAATAGTGTCGTTTGGGAGCTGGTAAATTTACATAAGCGATTGAAGAGACCTAATTATTATTATTTTTCAAATCACATGAGACGCACCGGAGTGTCTCTACAAAGACGCAAAGAAGTCTTGCAGTTCTTGGAACCATTCGTTTTCGAGTTCTACAGGACAGATTGCTCGCAATATGAAACTGAAATATCCCACTTGTTTTGTCTCTGAATTTCATCTGATCCAAGGTACACTCCCGGAATTGACTGCCATAAAAACCAATCGATAAAGTATTGAACAGAAAGCATGTTAGACCTGACACATTGTCAATGAACGCGTAACGGTAGAGTTGAACTTCTTTAAGATGCTTCAGCAAGAACGTCACAGTGAAGAAGAGAACATTTTGTGCTTCTGACACCATTTCAGCCGTGTCGAACTCATCATTGTGCATTTTGTTTAGCCTTCGGTTTTTATTTCGGTTCCAGCTTACTGGGAACACAGGTAACAAACTGATCGTCGTGAATCACAGAATGAGAATAACCCTGCAGAAACATGGATTGAGGCAGTCTGAATAGGAGTTTGAATACCTAGCAAAGTAATGGGTGAAGATGATGTACAAGAAGAGAAATAGTTACGGAGATATCTGTCCTCCCAAAGGTGTTTCTTGGGTGCGGACTCATTCTTATACACATATCATAGTATGAACGCCCATCTTGATTAGATTGTGTCGCGCTTTGACTACTGTACTCCACTCATCCCAATGTGGAAACTTTTTCGGTCTCAGACGTATGTGAGGAAGGAATCAATGTGTTTCTGTACGAAAGTTTAACCAGAGCTAGCTTTGCCTATTGGGTGAACATCAGCCAACCAAGGACGGATAATAACAATCAGTGTATCGAAAGTCCCGGTAGTGTGAACAACATACAAGCTGGATCGATAAGATTAGAACTGACTCGATGAATGATAAAACCACTAATTTGCGAACGACTAGGAACCAAACAAAATGGTCGATGCAGTGCACGGATCAATAATGCGATCAAAAACTTCAACATACTTCGATCTCTTGCGAAAACGTTCAGCTTAAGCAAAAATTAAATATTCAGGTAACTGGGACTAGTGTATGCGAACACAAAAGTAGGCTTGGTGAAAACTAGGATCAATGAGTGATGGGAATTTGTGCAACTGAAAACCGTCTTGCATCCCCACACATATATGCTGTAAAGGGCTCATCTAAATGGTTCCATTCGCACCTGGACGATTACGCCTGTGGATAACGGCGACTGTCACCTCTTCACCTTCGCTCCTGAGCTGATCCCGTACTACCATGTGGTTATCCAAGTCCTTTCGGTAGAATTCGAAATGCTAGCGTGTCTTGGAATTTCCCACAATGTCCTGCATGTGTATGAGTGCCCGTTGTCTGTTGACGAACTCCCTCTCGCTGCACTACCCACAGCTGTCTCCCTAGCGTGTCTATATATAGCAACCTTGGTTAGTTAGTTAGTTAGCTAGTTAGTTAAGAATATATCTTAAGCTTGGGAAAGTAAATTTCCATGAAGTTGAGCAAACCAGGCTAGTCATCTGAATAAGGCTAACTCATGCTGACAATACAGTAAACGAAGTGCCATAGCTCATCAACGATTTCCTTGCGATCCATACCAGACATCTGACGAAGTCAAGTGAGAGCAGAACAACGTTATGAAAGACCGAGTTTTGAATAATACTGTGCTATGAGGCCGACATTTTAGGGTTTTTTTAGATCGTATATCAACCCAAGACTGTTCTTGTCATCACTCATATGGCCCGTCAAGCTGCATTGCTCAAGAAAGTCCAGCGCGTGAATTTCAAAGCCACTAGCTGCTATGAGTTGCACAGTGCTAACCGAAGAAAACGATGGTCATATTGGACTGCTCAAAATCGAATTCGATTCTGATATCATGCAAACTGCCTACCCTATCCTACAGTCTAATTTGCAAACTGACGAGTCTGCTAAGCTATCTCACCCACGTCACTACATGACTGTTCACTTCATTTCCTCATTCCACTTATTGCCCGTGCTTAGGATAGGCTACCAAGATACAAAAGTGCGCTGTATTCAGTTTTATTGGCTGTGATTGTTCCATAAACCGGATCGAATGTACAGTCACCGTCTCAACCACACTGGGAGAAATTGGATTTACCCGATTTAGTCTGGGCGAGGGACCAAACAATGAGCTGGCCCTGTCGTAGCTACTCTTCGCGATCGGTCCAAACGATTGGCTATCCGGTCAAATCGATAACTGGTGATAGTGAGGGTGTTGCTGTTTCCGACTCCATGTCGCTCGTGATTCGCTCCTTTCCGTGAACCTGTTGGTGAGTAGAGAAGGATTTCCGTTGTGTGTGTGTGACGTAGCTGGCCGAACCAGACTTGGAAAACAAAGTACAGTTGTCACCGTCTGGAGCGACAGCTCTCAAGAATTCGGCTCCTCACACTTTATCACTTTTGATTGATTCTTTGAGATTTTCATCGACCCCGGAAAGGTCGATCCTCAACTGTCACACTGAACCTAATTTTGAAGAGAAGTTTCATCAAAATGAAACTCATGCGATAAGAATTCGTGAGCTTGTCTGCCCGACGCACAGTCAAGAAACGACAATCTGGATTTCCGTTTGTGTGTGTGACGTAGCTGGCCGAACCAGACTTGGAAAACAAAGTACAGTTGTCACCGTCTGGAGCGACAGCTCTCAAGAATTCGGCTCCTCACACTTTATCACTTTTGATTGATTCTTTGAGATTTTCATCGACCCCGGAAAGGTCGATCCTCAACTGTCACACTGAACCTAATTTTGAAGAGAAGTTTCATCAAAATGAAACTCATGCGATAAGAATTCGTGAGCTTGTCTGCCCGACGCACAGTCAAGAAACGACAATCTGAATACTGGTGAATGACAATTTTTTCCAATCAATTAGCTATCGATCCTTATAGCGGAGAGTGAACAAACCAATGGCTTTTCAAGCAAACGAGCTCTCACCGTATAAGTTGCTTTCAATTAGTTGTCCTGGAGTCGAAAATGTTTGTAACATTTACTCAAACTCTCATTCTTTCTTTAGAAATGTGTGAGCGCAAGTTTACGTAGAGAGTAGGCTACGCTTGTGGGGTAATTCTGACGGCTTGGCTTTCCCGATTATGCTTAGTGCCTTCGATTACTCACTCTTTATATTCGCCAAATAGCTTGATTTGCGTTGTGCGCGGATTTCTACAATTTAAACACCTCCAAAGATGGATTTTCACCCATGGGTTTCCCTTTTCTCTGAGGTCCAAAATGAGTGACAAAAGCTTCTGTCTATGGATGCACACCTGTATACTTATACACTTAGAGTCACCGGATAGTTGAACAGCTTCCTACTACAAAGTAATGACTAAATAAAGCAATTTATTCTCTATGGATGTTTAGCATCAATGCAGCTGGAGACGTTGCTCAAAATGTCATTCGAATTTCATTTGTCCACCTTTTTTTCAAACGGGAGTGTTGCATTTTCAGGACAGCTTCCTCCGGATTGAGAGTACATTTTTCAGGGTGATTTGCTTCAGCCCCTGGTTTTTTGGGTCTATTCAGCAAACTTCCTTCTTGAGATAGCCTTGAAATAACAGCTTCAGGAGGAAGGGACCAATTGAAGGATCGTGGTAGCCACTGACAGACTCATCACGAGAGCATATAGATGCACTGAGCACTGTGAGTTAATGCTCCACCAATATGGGAAGAAAACGAACACTGTCGATAAAAGTGTGTTTCATTTAACACTGCAACGAGCTATTTTTGCAAGAAATGTGGGTATGAGGTAATTAGTGCATAGGTGGTGATAGCCATAATACAACACAGAATGTGTATGCACTATTAAAAGTTTTTAGCATGCTTGACAGCGGTGGGTTGCAACACGTATAAAAATAAATACAATGTGAAATGGGAGGAAGTCAAAAGGGAACTAATCGTATGCGAGAGTGCCTTGGTGAAAGTTCGGACAGCGGGAACGTGTTTTTCTCCGCAGTGCGACCGTTATACGTGTTCCATAGTTGCCCGTGGACTGGTGGAGAGGTTGACGTCCTGCTCCCTGCGCGCGCGCGAGCCTGTGTGCTGACTGTGTTTGGTTTCCCTACATGTAGGTCCGTTTGCGTATACGTGGGCGCGTCAGCACATGAGTAGTTGCTACGCTCACTAGACGGTACGGACAATCGATGTCCGATAAGTCACCTTAATGTGGCGCGTTTGCGAGTATGAAA